TTTTAAGAGATCAACTGCAACGAACTGCATTAGAGTTCAAGCTACCAACTTTTCAAAGCGGAAAGGGGCGGAAATTCATGATTGCAAATGATCTGTTGTTTTTACTAACTTTCAAACGTCAGATAAGATACTGAGCTGCTCACACCTGATCGCAAAAATACCAGTGCTCTTACACAATTTTTTAACCTTATCTCTACCCACATAACCCTATACGATATTTCAACTCATAATGTCATAAACCGCGACCTGATCAGCCTTAAGTTATTTCCCGGTAAAAAGCAGAATACCTTAGTCAAAAATCATGAAGAATACTTATAGATTTACCTTTTCGTAAACTTTCTTTGTATCGTTGTAGTCAACTGCTGAATCGTTGCACATTGCGCAAATTGTAGCCAATTCAGTTAGAGCATCGAAATCTCCACTAGCGCAATTGATCTATAACAATTTTTCTATTGTGTGTTATATATCCACTTACTGTTCGAAAAAAAACGCACCTCTTTGTTGTTGAAGAAGACTTTACCAGAAGGTTCATAAGTTGATCCAGAAATAGTGAATTCATTAAAGTTGCAATTATCACCGGATGCCGAATCGATAATGAACATTTTTGACACAGACATTTGATTAGTGGTTAGAGTACCGGTCTAGAAGGACAAATTATTTTGCCTTTATTGAGACATAGGAAACTTGAAAATTCACCTTATCAGAACAGATCACAGAAGTACAACCCAATGTTTCAACAGAGGGCAGTGATCGGACAATAGCATTCTTCTTCGCCATTCTTCGGGTTCCCAAAGCAAGGCAAGTGGTGATGACTGCAGGTAAACCTTCGGGAATAGCGGCGACAGCCAGCGCAACAGCAATCTGAGACAATATTTTTCAGAAAGAGGCTACTAACAGATTTTACGATAACCTTAAAATAATAAATAGCTCCTTTGATCCAAGATCCACCATGAGCAGGATCATTGAAGTGGCCGATGTTGATAGCCCATACAGCAACGCAAATGATGGAGATAACCTGGAATAGATTAGAAGTAAAGCAACTCAGTTCTAGAAACTTCGTTTGTTCATTAAGTAAAATGATTAAAGTGATGCAACTTCAAACTACAACTCCCACTTTTTTCAAAGATCTAGCAAAAAATCTAGAGATAGATGTGTGGCCCCTACTCGGTTCATCATAAAAACGCTTGATGTCAGTTTCTTGATCGAAACGCAAAAGAGAAAATGAAAACGCACAACTACAATATACAATGTATCGCATAAAAAGCCCCTCACTTCCCACCAACTGATAATATGCAAAAAGTTCATTCCAACGAGAACTTCTCCCATGAATTCCTTTACAATAGTGAACAACACTCATGTGTCAAATTAACATTTGCCACATATCATTCATGTTCCACTTACTTTAGACAGCTGTTCACCGAACTCGTCAAGCTTCTGCTGAAGTGGCGTCTTATCGCTCTCGGTTTCAGCCATTTCTGTTCGGATTTTACCAATTTCAGTGCCCAGTCCAGTACCAAATACAATACCGCGAGCCTAAATTAAAAAAGGATAAAAAATATCCTGCGCAAGTATTTTGAAAGCTAACCTTTCCAGAAGCCACATTTGTACCCGAGAACAAACAATTCTTCTTATCTTGGTTCACGGCGCGTGGATCAGGCACGGTTTCAGTGTGCTTGATAACTGACACGGATTCTCCGGTCAGAATTGACTGGTCAATTCGTATCGTGGTCGAGTAGATCTTCAGTAATCGGATATCAGCTGGGATTTTGTCTCCAACTGAAATTATAACTTCAAACTTAAAACATGGCTTCGAATAACATTGAACTCAAAAAAGCAGCTAGGATATGATTTCAAATTTGTAGTATTACTACAGAAAGCTCTCTGAAACAACTCATGTTATTTT